GTAAGTAAAGTAAAGGCCCTCCCGTTGTTCATCGATTTGCTTGAGCAGGCCCAGTAACGTCTCCATTGGAGATTTTGTTTTTACTGTGTTTGGCATATCGAATACATCATGGGTCACTTGCCAGGCTCTGCCGTGTGGGCAAGATACTCTCGGCAGCTTGCCGGGCTCTCCGAGAGGGGCGGAGGAATTGAACTTGGGTCGGCCATGTTGGCTGCATGCAAGGCAAACGCCTTACCGCTGTGCTATCGCTCAAGATGATGTGTTATTTCCAAAATAATATGCTAGTGTATAAATTGCATAGTATGGAAAGATTAGAAACAGATTAAAATGAAAATTTTTATTTTGGGCTACAGTTATAGTACAGAGCAAAGGGCACTTATCTTGCTCTTGCTCACATCTGACCTGGAGGAGTTGCAACCTCCTGGTCTCCCAAGCCCATCAGGAATATGCCAGAGCACCACCAAGTGTGGCCCCAAACAAACCAAACACTGAGTTGTTTGAGAAGGGACCACTAACAATGATAGTTGGATATGGTCACTCTGGATAAGAACTGAGTGCTGAGAGGAAGTAGTGTGATATTCATGATAACCTTTCAGTACCTGTATTGCAAACCACAATGACTCAAGCTACAGTGAGAGGGAGAGAGAGATAGATAGATAGATAGATAGAGAGAGAGAGAGAGAGAGAGAGAGAGAGAGAGAAGTGCCTGTTGGAGAGGCAGGATGGGTAAGGAAAGTATACTGGTGAAGGGACTGGTGTTGGAACATTGTATAAATGAAACTCAATCAAAAAAAACTTTGCAATTGTGTATCTCATGGTGATTTAATTTAAAACGCACTGAGTTGTTTGATTTTTTTGGATTCCACATCAAATGTGGTCTCAGGGATCATTCTTAGTGGATCCTAGGTCACAATTTGCAATGCCAGGTATCAAACAAGGGTTTCCTCAAACCCTGAACTGTCTCATTCTCCCACTGTCAATTGACTTTTAATTTGTTAAGCAAACTTATATAGTTAAAACTATATAAGATAGCTTTTAAGTTGTTGTTGTTGTTTACTTGTTTGGGGGCTACAACGGGCTGTACTAAGGGCTTAGCCCTGGTTCTAAGCTCAGGGACCATTAGTGACAATCTTAGGGGACCACATGGTTGCCTGAACTGAACTTGGGTTAGAAACCTGAAGGGCGAGCATTCTAACTCTGTACTATTGCTCCAGCCACAAAGTTTCATTTTTAAATAAATTTTGCGGGACTGGAGCAATAGTGCAGAGGATAGGTCATTTGTCTGGCATGTACCTGATTTGATTCCCAGCATCTTATGTGGTTCCCCAGAACTGCCAGTAATAATTCCTGAGTGCAAAGCTAGGAGTAACCCCTGTGCATCACCAAGTATAATCCAAAGAGCAAATAAATAAATAAATTCTGCTGAAATAGCTACCAAATCCAAAAATCAATCTAGCCAGAACCCCTAAATGTTTTAAAAAATTTAGCTAGAAATTGACAAGAAAATGATCGGAAACTGCACTAACTCTTACAAAAAAAACTAAGTGAAAATCTACATGTCCTTAGTCTTGAAAAAAAAATATGTATATATATTACACAGGCTGGAGTGATAGCACAGTGGTAGGGCGTTTGCCCTGCACGCAGCCAACATGGCCGACTCGAGTTCGATTCCTCCGCCCCTCTCAGAGAGCCCAGCAAGCTACCGAGAGTATCTCGCCCATACGGCAGAGCCTGGCAAGCAATCCATGATGTACTGGATATGCGAAATACAGTAACAAATCTCATGATGGAGACATTACTGGGCCCGCTCGAGCAAATCGATGAACAACGGGAGGACCGTGACCATGATATATTACCCAAAAAAATTCTATGAAGAAAAATATCAAAATTATGGCAAGACATTTGACTATGAATGACACTGTTGAGAAATATAAATAAAATCTAATAAAGGAAGATGAGATAGAAAAGAAAACTAATAAGACATTTAAAAGTGCGAGAAAGAATGAAGACTGGAGAAGGGTAAGTGAGAGGCGTAATGTATAATATTTTACATTATTGTAATATGTACATGTCAAAATGCCCTGGGTCCAATCCTTGGCACCTCATAAGTTACCTTGACTACCACCAAAGAAAAGTAAAGTAAAAGTAAAGGCCCTCCCGTTGTTCATCGATTTGCTTGAGCAGGCCCAGTAACATCTCCATTGGAGATTTTGTTGTTACTGTGTTTGGCATATCGAATACATCATGAGTGGCTTGCCAGGCTCTGCCGTGTGGGCGAGATACTCTCGGTAGCTTGCCGGGCTCTCCGAGAGGGGTGGAGGAATCGAACTCGGGTCGGTCATGTTGGCTGCATGCAAGGCAAACGCCCTACAGCTGTGCTATCTCTCCAGCCCAACACCAAAGAAATTTTCTAAAAACAGAGACAGAAGTTAACCCTGAACATTGCCAGGTGTCACACTTAAACCAAAATAACAGGAAGGAAGGAAGGAAAGAAGGAAGGAAGGAAGGAAGGAAGGAAGGAAGGAAGGAAGGAAGGAAGGAGACAGGAAGGGAGGGAGGAAGGGAAAGAGAGAAGGAGTGAGGAATGGTAGAAAAGTCTTTTCAAGTATATGTTTATTTTTGCGTGTAATTTTTTAAGTGACATCAATATTATGATTAAGCATAAAATATGATTTTTAAATGTATGTTAAAATAGATTCTATGCTACTGACATATTTTAGATAGGAATTATATGTATTAAATCACAAGTTAAAGTATCATTTGTCTGAAATTTCAGCAAAAACTGAAAACATATTCAACCATTATTCTATCTGAAGAAAAGTTAACAAAAAAGAAAAAAGCATGTTAAATTGCTTCCTACTCAGTGATTCCACTTAAATATCACTCAATAAACTAAATTAAAAGTCAGCTCATGACGATTCTCAAAAAATTAGAAATTGAGGTTCCATATGACCCAGCAATACCACTTCTGGGAATATATTCCAGAGAGGCAAAAAAGTATAGTCGAAATGACATCTGCACTTCTATGTTCATTGCTGCACTGTTCACAATAGCGAAAATCTGGAAAAAACCCCGGTGTCCGAGAACAGATGACCGGTTAAAGAAACTTTGGTACATCTACACTATGCAGCTGTTAGGAAAGATGAAGTCATGAAATTTGCATACAAGTGGTTCTACTTGGACAGTATCATGCTAAGTAAAATGAGTCAGAAAGAGAGGGACAGACGTAGAAATTTTACACTCATCTGGGGAATATAAAGTAACAGAACGAAGACGAACACCCAAGAATAGTTAAGTACCAGGAGTTCTGCCCCAGGGCTTGGAAGCCAGCAGCAGTTGCTGGGGAAAAAGGCAGCTCAGATAGAGAAGGGAACACCAAGTAAAGGGTGTTCGGAGGACTTGCTTGGGATGCAAGATGCATGCTGAAAGTAGATACAGACGGAACACTATGGCCACTCAATATCTCTATTGCAAACCACAACACCCTAAAGGAAAGAGAGAGCAAAAGGGAATGCCCTGCCACAGAGGTGGGGCAGGTTTGTGGGGGAATGGGGTGGGGAGTTGGGAGGGATACTTGGGTTCATTGGTGGTGGAGAATGGGCACTAGTGAAGGGATAGGTACTCGATCATTGTATAACTGAAACCCAAGCACAAAAATTTGTAAGTCTGCAACTGTACCTCATGCTTTTCACTAATAAAAAAAATTTTAAAAAAAAGTCAGGTCATGAGCTGGGGCGATAGCACAGTGGGTAGGGTGTTTGTCTTGCATGCGGCCGACATCAGGTTCAATCCCCAGCATCCCATACGTTCTCCCTAGCACCGCCAGGAGTAACTCCTGAGTGCAGAGCCAGGAGTAATCCCTGTGCATCGCTCTGTGTGACCTAAAGAACAACAACAACAAAAAAAAGTCATGTCATTACGAAAATCTCCCCTTATTTTACTTTTCTGTAGGAAATGTAATTTCCAATAAAAACAACATCTTTACTTGGTTTCAATACAAATATAATAATATAAATATTAGATTATTAAAATATACTTTGAAGATTAATAGCAATATATTGAATTAAATAATTTACCAACAAATTTTCTTTTCAATTCACAAAAGATTAGAATCTAACAAAGGTTGCTTAGAATTACATTGGATTTTAATTACCATGTCACTACTATTAATAGTTGCCAAAGACCTTTCTTTAGTTTTTCAGCTGTCACAAACCGCATGTATCATATCAAATAGCACAAAAGCTAAATTGATTTTCTTACATTTCTATCATCTTCTACAATGCAGGCGTAGTATAGAATGATTGATTTTTATTACGTTAATTTAATGTAATGTCATTAAAGTTAAATTTATCAGCCAGTATTAAAAAAGATAATTTCTAATTGTGTCTTATTAACTCCAAGTCTATCATTTTTCTCTGCAATCATTCAATGTAAGACTGATGAAGACATTAAAAAGATCCCTTTTTCTAAGAATATAATTAAACATAACAATGTAATTTTGAGATGTAAAAGCTTAAAGGAATTCTTGATAAGAAAAAAATTGAGACAAGAAGTAGAGTTTTAAAGTTTAATTTTAGGTATTATGAATGAGCCATATGTTCTCATAGCCAGCATCTGTTAGTTATGGTGATAGGTTAAGTATTTTTTTAATAAATGAAAATATTTTGAATTGCTGCCTTTTTAAGTAGGTGGAGGCCATGCAACAAACTATGTAGTATGTGTTTTTATTTTTCTTCAAACATCTTAGTAAGGGAGTCCTGAAATTGACAATTTCCCGCTTATGTTAAATAAACATATAAGAATATTCATTACTTCACACAACTTAGTGTTTTCAAAAATTTTTGAAGAGATTTTAAAGATTCTATATCCAATGCTTTTATTATAAACGATTTATTTTATTATATAAATGGTCACCATTACCACCTACAGCACTGCCCCTGCTGGATCACTGACTCAGTACAAGACACACCCCAAACCAATGTGACACTGTCCACCCACAGCAGCAGTGCCTACACGGGAAGACACTTCTAGAAGGTTCCAGAATCCAAAGGCATCAGCCGTCTCTCAGAGTGACCTGGAGGACCGTTTTGAAGGCAACCGTAGCCACATCTCTCCCGTGAGGAAGAGGCGCTCCCAGATCACTGCACTTCTCAGCTCCCAGGCGGGCTCTTCGGTGCCTTTCCCCATCACTGGGTCTCCGGGGTCCTACCTGGAGAGCGGGCGCCACCAGTCGCCCAACCAGCATTGATTGCAGTCCCCTGGACAGACCCGGGCTCAGCAGTGGACACTGATGTCCCTGCCCCAGCCTCCCCGCAACTCTGGGTGTGAGCGATTGTGCAGCTTTGCAGATACATTTGCTGCCTGTTCCCAGAGAAGTAACAGGGTGGGGGGTAAAAATACACAAACAAACAAAACAAAACCCAGCTTTGGGGTTTAATTTCTTTATTTCCTTAAGAAGTCATTTGGCAAGGCGAGCATCCCGGCTCTTGTAAACATGCCTAACTCATTTAAGTGGTCTCTGACTGTTCTGAGAAATTGGAAACCGAAGTCTTGTCTCAAATTGTCTCAAACGGATCCTGGGACACGAGATGAGGAGGACAGTGGCATGTTTGCCGTGGAGAGAAGCAGGGGGAATATCAAAGTTCATCTCAGGATGGATGCGGCACCCCAGGAAATCACCCCGAAACTTGACATGATGCTGCAGGAGCAGGGAAAGTGGTGTATGGGGGGCGTGGGGAACCGAAGTCTCACAACTGTCCGAGTCCAGAGGCATTGTCCAAGGGTGCTCGAGCCACCCACTGTGGCTCTTCACACACCTGTCTGTCTCTGACTTCCAACAACGACTGCTGTTGAGACTTAAAAAGTAGAGGCAACGATGCATCTATACTTCTTGGAATTGATGTCTTTGTCTTTGGAGGGAAGACTCCAAGAAGAGGAATTGCCAGAACATAAGAAAGCTCTGTGCTTGCTCATTTATGTCCCCATAGAGGCTGGATTGGTTGACTACACCAGCACTGACTGCAGGTTCCTTTCTCACTGCATCTCCACCAACACTGGCACTTTCCTTTTTTTATTTTTTTCCACACACAGGCCGTGATCATTGGAGTGAGAAGATATTTCATTGCTTGGATTTGCATTTTCTCCATAATTAGTTGTGATGAGCACTTTTTCACATGCCGACTAGCCTGTCCTTCTAAGTTCAACTTCCTAAACACTCAGTTATAAGTTGCAGGATTTAAAACATAGCCTTGACAGGAGAAAGTCATGTATTAGTGTCTCAGTAGAAAGTAGCAAGCAGTGGTTCTTGGCTGAAACTGTGTAGGCAGCTGATTTGTATTTTACATGTTGTGATTTCTTAATCATCTCGTTTCTAGGATTGAGACTCCCAGTTATTGCTGTCTTAATGAATTAAAACAATGCATTCTCTCTCTCATGAGTGGATCATATAGGACCTATGTGACTTTAGAAGCAGTTTGGAATTTATTTCCCTGATATTTTTTATTCCTGCAACATTAAAGACAGAAACTTCCAGGGTGATAATAAACTAAATATTTAGTCTCTTTCTGCCAAAACCTGTGGCTGAGATCTCTAAGCCTGCTCGAATCGGAACTGGGCCTTCTCCACCCAGATCCCCCATTTTACAGTAGCTTGGCAGTCACACCCACAAATTGCCTGCAGCACCATGTAATCTCATAAATGGCCAAGATCCAGAGACTATTAAACAAAAACCCTGTACAAGTCAGTCAACCAAAAGCTTACATTCGATAGGCTGGGAACAGCTGTAAAACCCCAACCATCTCAGAGAACCTGGCAAGCCACCAAGAGTATCCTGCTTGCACTGCAGAGCCTGGCAAGCTACCCATGTTGTATTCTATATGCCAAAAACAGTAACAATAATGGTTCTCATTTCTCTAACCCTGAAAGAGTCTTCGATACGGCAAAGTTGGGAAAAACGAGAAGAGAGGCTGTTAAAATCTCAGGACTGGGACGAATGTAGATGATACTGATGCCCACTCGAGCAAGTCTATGAACAACAGATTGACAGTGCTACAGTGCTACATTATAAACATTTTTAAATAATTTCCAGATTTTTTCAAGGTGATAATATCTTTGGAAAAGTATGTTTTTAAATCTTTAGTACAAGCATCAAACAATACACGTACATGGCTAAAAATTTAAAACTATACTATACAGACAGGATAAATGAAGCCAACTTTTTATTTGTGGGTTGCTTTAAAGAATTATTATTGTAATATATCATTACTATGTATATGTAAAGTCTCTATATAGTTTATGAATATGTTTAAAAGACAAAGAGCAATATTATAGTTTTGTAAACAACGAAGCAGTGCAAGAGTCCCCTTATTCTTTACTGATGTATTTCTTATAATGTTTCACTCACCCTTGCGCTTACCCTGCTGACCAAACTTTTAAAAGATGCTGTCATGCATTGCATGTTTGACAGAAAATTTGCTCCAGTTTTGGACTGAAAAGGGAAGGAAAAGATTCCCAAAGTTTTTCAGACTTCTTTCTTTCCCTAACTCATTTTCAATAATTTATTCTAGTTTCCTTTTCAGACCAGAAAGCACTATATAAACCACTAGATACCAAACAGTGTAGCGTTTTTGACCAATAACTTTGACATATTCTCAAGTTGTAGTGTTTCAAAAGAACATGTTTACAATGGCTAGCTTCCAGTTTCTGGGGCTACGTGATATCTTTCTTGTCACAATCTATTTAGAATTCTGAAGTGGATTGACAGCAACTTTTGAGCACAGTGGGCATCCCATGAGCTTGCTTTTCCCAACTCTCTTCCAGCTTCTGGCAGTAGCTTCCCTTCACAGTGCAGTTTCTTTCCAGCAGCTCTCTCTGTGTAACTTCTTTCTGGTGACTATCTTCATGTAGCAACTGCACAAAAGGGTTTTTTCCTCCTCAAAGATCACAATACTAGCCATGCATGACCTAGCTTTATATGTTTCTTCCACCCTTGTGCCTGTAGTCTGATTAGTTATGCCTGATATAAAGGAAACCTTGCAAACAAATCAATCTGAGTGATTACACAAAATGATGGAGGCGATCACCTAGATAATGACCTACCAGATCAATTCTATAATATCAATTATACTAAAACACTCATGTGATATCCACAGAAATGACTGTCTCCCTTGCTCTCACTGTAGCACTAATACCAGAATAAATCTTATATTGTTATACCATGTCTTGTCTCTCAAATACTGGCCTTCAAGTGTCAGCCACCTGAAATTGAACTTGGTAACAACATGACTATTTGTAAAATTTTAGGATGTTGAAAACAATAAAATTTAGCCCTCATATTTCTGGTGCACTTTATGAAGAGTTCTTAATTCCCAAAATGTGCCTGTCTTATATCCTTCATTCACTAAAATAATACTGGCTTTGAATAGAAACACATCACGAACATGGTAAATGAATCTAAACTAACTTCTTTGAAGTTTACCATATAACAATACTTTTTTTTAAAATTTAATACCTGTGTGATAAACAATTATACATTTGTCCATGATAGGTCTTCAGTCATACAATGTTCCGACACCAACATCTTGACCAGAGTTCATATCCCACTGTTACTGATCATTTTCCTTCTCACCTGCCCTGAACCATGTGCTTCTGTGACAGGCATTTCTTCTTTTTCTTCTCCTTCTCCTTCTCCTTCTTCTTCTTCTTCTTCTTCTTCTTCTTCTTCTTCTTCTTCTTCTTCTTCTTCTTCTTCTTCTTCTTCTTCTTCTTCTTCTTGTTCTTCTTCTTCTTCTTCTTCTCTTCTTTTCTTCTCTTCTTTTTCTTCTTCTCTTCTTCTCTTCTTCTTCCTCTTCCTCTTCCTCTTCCTCCTCCTCTTCCTCCTCCTCCTCTTCCTCATTTTCTTTATCTTCCTCTTCTTCCTCTTAATCTTCTTCCTCTTCCTCCTCCTCCTCCTCTTCTTCCTCCTCCTCCTCCTCTTCTTCTTTTCTTCTTCTTCTTCTTCTTCTTCTTCTTCTTCTTCTTCTTCTTCCTCTTCCTTTTCCTCTTCCTCCTCCTCTTCCTCTTCCTCTTCGTCATTTTCTTTATCTTCTTCTTCTTCCTCTTAATCTTCTTCCTCTTCCTCCTCCTCCCCCTCTTCTTCCTCCTCCTCCTCTTCTTCTTCCTCTCTCTTTCATCTTTTCTCTCATCTTCTTTTCCTTCTCTCTTTCTCTCCTCTCTTTTTCTGTCTCTCTCATCTCTCTCTTTCTCTTTCTTGGTGTATCTCTCTTTCCTAATTGGAATTGTGGTTTGCAACAGTTGCTGAAAGTCCAATGTAAATATCCCTTTACCTACTTTCAACATTCAATTCTTACCCAGATTGATCATTTCCAACTATTATGGTCATTCACACACACTCGTAGCAAGCTCCCAAGCATTGAACTGTCCTTGCCCCTGTTTTCCCTGGCCTTGGATATTCATTTAATATAATATTTTTAATATTTCACCAACAAATGAGTCATTCTATGTATTTCCCCCTCTTTTTATCTCACTTTGCTCAGCATAATACTCTCCATGTCCATCTATTTATAAAAAAATATTTCATGGCTTCATTTTTCCTAACAGCTGCTTAGTATTCCATTGTGCAAATGTATGATAGTTTCTTTATCCAGTCACCTGTCCTTGGGCAGTAGTGTTGTTTCCAGATTCTGGTTACTGTCAATAGTGCTGCAATGAATATAGAAATGTAGATGGTGTTTTTGCTGTGTGTTTTTGGATATATTACCAAAAGTGGTATTGTTGGGTCAGATGGGAGCTCAATTTCTAGTTTTTATGAGGAATGTCCATATTGTTTTCTAAAAGGGTTGGACCAATCAGCATTCCTACTAAGAGATGAGAGTCCCTTTCTTTCAACATCTGCTCCACCACTGATTCTTCTTGTTCTTTTTGATGAATGCCAGTCTCTATACTGAGATAAATGAATGCTGGTTTTAAATAGGAAGGGAAACTGAAACTAAATTAGAAGTAAGTATTCAACTAATTGGTAAAGTACATATACTCAAATAACAAATTTCTGGCTTATACTTGGATATTCTCACACACTCCAGGAAAAATAAGGCAATCATACACAAAATGTAATAAAGTAATCATACTCAAAATGTAAATTTATGTTCATATTTCTTTCCCTTATTTAACATAAAAGTATCAAAGATAATAGATTTCAATATTTAGGTAAAATTTTTTAGTTCTATGTTATTATTTTATTTTATACTCAAT